AGTTGCCTTTCATAGACTTCAACAACAGCAATTTTAGTTATACATGGAATTAATGTTTAAAGTTGTTATCTCATTTATTTTAAAGGCATCCCTCACCAATATTTTCCCTCTATTGGCCTTTTAAATCTGGCAGCATAGAATGGTATGAAATTACTTCCACTCTGGCGTGACATCTATACTTGCTTAGGTTTAGGCACGGCAGCTGTATCTCAACTGTTGTCCAACCTCCCAGGGCCATCTCCTCTGTGGAAAATGTGCCAGTTTCTCTCTCCCTGCCCAGCACTATTTTAATGAGCACAAGAGAAGGTCTCTTGTTCATCAGTGTTAAAATATCTTTAACAAAAACCATTCCCAGCCTGCCATCACCTATCCACAGCCCTATCCACCCTATGTTCTTCCTTAGAAATAAATATGCCTTCTACAGTAAAAAATATGCCTTCACACAAATAAATATTCCTTCTACAGTAAAGCTTGTAAAAGCTGGAGCTGATGTAAGGCAGAAAGCTGCCAGAAAAGGAATACTCAAATATTTTTCACTGTAAGGAGATAAAAAAATGATACGACACATTGTCAAAGGCAGAAAACGTGTGAGACCAGGACAAACAATGGTAATTCTGTAGAGTTCTGGCTCTCATAAATTTCTTTCTTTCGAATAGGTGTTCTCATGACAGTTAATCAAAATGAAGGAAGAATGGAGTGGTCTAAAGAATCACATTTTTCTGTCTCTTAGCAAGCAAGCAACAGACCCTAACCTTATAACATTTTATTTTCTGCTCCCAAAAGGTTCTGTTCCATTTAGCAGAAATACATGATAGGTTATCTTACCTGTGGGAGGTGCAGTTTCATAGAAGATACAAGAAGAACGATGCCTCATGTTAGTGTTGCTCCTGGAGGGACCACTTTAGGAGCCACTGCTGTAGCTCTGAGGTTATGAGGTATTTTTTCACAGAGAAAGTCTGACAAAGCTAGGTTTCTGTCTAGCAGCTTTTTCTGAGATGGTTTCACTTGGTGACCCACACCACCAGGTGTTACAGACTACATTCACTCCTCACTGACTTATTGACGTGGTTAGGTTCCAAAGACCAGGTTGAGAGGGGACAAATTGGCACCATGTGAAAAAGGAAGATGACCACATCATATCACAGAAATAGAGGATAACTACAACATTCCTTAACTGGCAAACCATTGAGAAGTGTGGCCTAGCTAGATTGACACATAACCTGAACCATCATAGCCGGTGTTACTTCAGCTTTGCACTTTGATATTTGTTACTGCAAATGTGTCATTGCTACACACAAGTTGATTTTTGATATTATCATACATGTAAAATATTGGATAAGGGGAGGGTTGATAAGTGAGGAGTGGTGTATTAAGTAGTAAGTTATAGGCTATTTAAAGTCAATGTTTTATTTGACTTTATGTATTTCTACGTCAAAATCATTCTCTTAATATATGATTGCTTTCTATATTTCTCTCCACCACATCATTTATTTCCCAGAGTTAATACTTTTCCTGTTTTTCCCTTTGTGGAAAGTTGCTGAGACATCTTAACTTGAATGTTAGGTCTTCGATGTTACAGAGGCCGTTTGTTTTATTTAGCCACTACTGTTTCATGATTCAGGAGACAGATGGGACTTTCTACTCCCATAAACCGTCATAGTCTCAGGAAGTCACAGGTGAAATTCTATCCGACCCTCTGGGGTCGCTGTGAGTCAGTATTGACTCAGTGGTAGTGAGTTTGGCCTTGGTTTGGGTCCATGCATTGGAGGAGCATTAGTGATGTAATGGGATGTGGAATGCTAACTGCAAGACTGATGGTTCACAGCCACCAACTGCTTGGCAGAATAAGATGAGGCTGTCTGCCCCTGAAGAATTTACAGTCTTGGAAACCCAATGGAGCAGTTCTGCTCTGTCTGATGGGGTTGCTATGAAACAGAATCAACTTGACGGCAGTGGTCAGCGTTTTCCATGATTAGAGTCCCTGGGTCGGTGATGCGAAAGGTTAATGCTCTCAGAAGTTGGAGGTTCAAGTGTGCCCAGAGGTATCCCACACAAAAGACCTGATGATCTACTTCCATTGAAAACATTTTGAAGCATATTTCTGCTTGCATCAATAGGGTCACTGTGAGTAGTGATCGGTTTGATGACAACTAGTTAGTAATAGTAAATTCCATGTTTATATCTTTTCCTTTGCTATTGGAGGCACATATATTGATATAGTTAATTGCCTAATATATCTGACTTCAATTGAGCCTGCTCTTGGTTGCCTCATATGAAGTTCATGAACATGGATCAGATTTTCCCAATAGGAATATATTATTTTCACACCCTAAAATCCGGTGACGTGAGTCAGATAAAGCCTGTGGGAATGGAGCCTTTGGGTTTTCATTAGCCGAGGGGGCCTGACTCGAGGTAAGGAGAAACAGATATAAATATCTTCTACTGATGGGAACTTGGAATCTGTGAAGTATGAATCTAGGAAAATTTTAAGCCATAACAAATGAAATGGAACACATAAAGGCCCACCTCCTAGGCATTAGTGAGCTTAACTGGAGTTGGGTTGACTATTTTGAGTCAGAAAATCATATGATTTACTATGCCAGGAATAACACAATTAAGAGGAATGGTATAGCATTCATTGTCAAAAGACATTGAAAAATCAATCATGAAGTACATGTGTCTGTCCACCTTCAAGAAAATCCTATCAATACAATTATTATATACATTTATGCACCATTCAACAAACCAGTGAGGAAGATATTGAAGAATTCTACCAACGGCTTTGGTATGAAATTGATCAAACAGGCAATCAAGATGCATGGATAATTATTAGTGATGGGAATGCAAATGCTGGAAACAACGAGGAAGGAACAGGAGTTGCATAATATAGATGTGGTGATAGACATGAAGATGGAGACAGCATGAGAGAATTTTGCAAAACCAGCGACTTGTTGAAAGCAAATACTGTTTTCCAACAACACTGAATACAACTATACACATGGACTTCTCCAGATGGAACACACAGGAATCAAATTGACTACCTCTGTGGGAAATGATGGGCTTTCTACTCCTGTAAAGAGTGACAGTCTCAGAAATTCACAGGGACAGTTCTACCCTATCCTATAGCATCACTGTGAGTTGGCATCGACTCTAAGGCAGTGAGATTGGAAAGATATAGTGTGTCAGACTGAGGGATGGAGTACGAAATGGAGGCCAGGTAAATATTCCATTACATTAATTTAGGAGAAAGAAGACTGAATTAATGTATGGAGAGAAGGGAATTGTTTTGCGTGGTTGCAGGTGCCTGTTTGTGCACATCTCTTTTAGACTCCCATTTAGTGACTTCAGGATCATTGCTTGAAATTGGCCAGGATCAAGAGATCTAAATGAAAGAAATAGGCAGACTCTGCAAGTTAGGGTTCTCTCCCCCTGGAGAGCTGATTTTTAAATGTTTACC